GTTGACTTTGGAAATAATAGGAACTGCCCAGTGGAGGATCTGAGGGCTCTCAAGATGGACTTCCTGATCCTTCCTTTTCAAGCAATAGAATGCAGTCTGGCACGGATTGGCCCCTCAGGTGAACAGTGGGAAGAGGAAGCTCTTGATGAGTTTGAAAGACTCACTGCCTGTGGTGCCTGGAAGCCATTGGTGGCCAAGTTCTCTGGCGATGTCCATAATGGAAAGTCAACTTGGCCAGAAATCTATTTGTATGATACCAGCAATGGGCAGGAACTTGATATTGGGTTAGAATTAGTTCGTAAAGGATATGCAGTCGAACTTCCAGAAGATGTGGAAGAAGATGGAACTTTCCCATATACGTTGAGGATGGACATGATGGACATGATGGACGTGATGGACATGGCAGAGGAGGCAGATTCTTCTTTTTCCAGCATAGTCAGTGAGACCAGAATGATGATCCCTGAAGAGTTACCTCGTGCCTATTCCTGCCTCAGCTTAACAAAAGCCGAAGTGTTCAGAAGAAGATGTAGAAGAGTCGCATCAATATAAAGGCCTCATGGGGAAGGGAGTGCTGAGGATACTGAAGAGAGTTCCATTGTAGTATTCCTTCAGGTATTTGCTTATGAACTTTCTTGTAAATGCAAGTAGAAGAAACGTAGAGACAACTTAGGACATGTTAAATTAACAGTATGTCTGTATACACACATCTAGAGAAATAAAGAATGTACTTCTGCTTGGAAAAAAAATTGTATGTAGCATTTCACTTCAACTACATGAACAGAAATCTCTTCCAAGGATTCCAAAGAAGTCAAAGGAATAGCGCTTCCGTGGCTCAATATTTACTTGATAATTTCCTATCAGTCAAATACAATATTTTAGCTGCTCTGACGATGAAACATGTGTTATGGAATAAAAAGTTTTATAGTCTGAATCCCCTCCATCAGGGTGCGATGCATTTTACACTGTTGCTGATACCTATGCATTGCTAATAGTCACTTTCTGATGTGTGTATACGAATGTGTGTGTGTGTGTGTGTGTGTGTGTGTGTATGAGAGTGATTACTGATTATAAAGCATCTTACATATTTGAGAGTTTTTCCTAAAAATATTTGAAATATTTGCTTTGGTTTTTAAATCAAAGTACATTGTTTCATACTTTGGTAAGTTTGTGCATCCATACAATGTATTCATCTCATATCCATACCTTTAACACACCCCCAAACTTATCCCAGGCCCTCTGTTAACTCCTGCTGTTTCATAAACCTCTTCTTTGATTTGGTTTGCTTCATTTAAATTTTTGTGTGTGTGTGTGTGTTCTCAAGAGAGGTTTTCTCTCTGAAGCCTGGCATCCTGGAACTTGCTCTAGACCTGGCTGATATCAAACTCAGTGACTCCCCTGCCACTTCTACACCTGTGATGGGGTTAAAGGTTATTGCTACCCTAAAGACATTCCCAGGAATCCAACAAAACCACTCAATCTCCATCTAAGAATCTAAGAAATAATGGACAAGGCACCATACATGTCTTTCCTATGTAATGAGATTGATCAGTACCTTAAGTTCCATCCTAGAACCTTTGCCCAGTATTGATGGAGGCAGATATCCACAGATAAGCACTGGACCAATCTCCTTGAGTCCAGTTGCAGAGACTGAGAAGTGATGAGGAAAGTGGTCAAGACCGTGCTGGGGGAAACCCACAGAAACAGCTTGACCTGAGCTAGTGGGAGTTAACTGACTCCTTGGGGAACCTGCATGAGACCGAACTAGGTTCCTTGAACCTGTGTGTGAGCTGGGGGTTTTCGGCAGTCTATGGGGCATCTGGCTTTGCAACCAGGATTTATCCATAATACATGAACTGTGTTTCTGGAACCCATTTCCTATGGGCTCCCATTAGAGGCAGGGAGGGAGGGCCTTATTTCTGTCCCAAATGATGATGTCCCAGACTTTGATGCCCCTTGGAAGGCCTCAGTGTCTGTTAGTAGTGGAGTGGGCGTGGGATGGGGAGGTAGTGGGTGGAGTGGGGGCTCAGAAGGCAGAGGGAACAGAGATTGCTGTTTGAAAAAGATTGCTTTAAAAATAGTATGTGTGCCACCACACCCGATTCATAACTTGTTCTGATTTAAAGACCCAAAGAGTCCAATTGGTGTTGCACATATGTGCATGGGTATAGGACCATACCGAGGAGCACAACCAACCTGCCTATCCACGCCCATGTACCCGATATTAACTAACTTAGGCTCCTCCAGGAGACATCAACTCTCATTAACTCAGCTAGCTTTAGGACCTCATGAGCTTGAGTACTGATTGGCTTAATCTTCTCAAAGTATACAATATGTAACTTTGCAGTTTTAGCTCTGAAATTCACTGCCACTGGCATCTGCTCTTACACACCATTCAGTGTTTAGCAGGGCCTCTTAAAAGGGCCTTGCAGTTTTGTTTTGTTTTGGTTTTATTTATTTTTTTTTTTTTTGCCGCTTATGTCGACACAGGAAGACTCCAGTAAGGGAGCCCTGTGAGTCTGCTTGTCTCTAGCAAAACAGAGCCCACCAGAGAAACATGTTGCTCTCTGCTCTTTTGTTTTTAGAATCCTCTTAAACTTTTGTCATTCTACTTGGTATTTCATGATGGGAGGTGGCCTCAGTGAGGAGACAGGGGAGCAGCGGAGGCTGATTACCATGTGAAGCAAACTTGTTTCAAAATTTAAAAAAAAAGTTCCTTTCTGCAAAAGTGTATGTGAATATGTGTGTGTCTGTTTGTGTGTGTGTGTGTGTGTGTGTTTACTGTGGAATGTATTGTGATAATTTCCCCAGGAATCTAGTTGTACTGGTTACCTCTGAAGACACATTTTCTGCATTTACTTTTCCTTACTTGTGACTCTTCTGGGAGGTGCAAGTATGACTTCCCCAATTCTATGGTTTCTGAGTGACTAGAAGTCAAGCATGTGTGTAGGTCCCAGCTGCTAAAGAACTAAATCTGAGGACAGCCTGGGCAACATACCAAACATCTGTCTCTGAAATAACAGTAATAACAATAATAACAATAATAATGGGAAAACTGACCCAAAGACATCTGAGTGACCAGAAACGATGTTGTAGTCGCTCAACAAACATTGTTTTGTCTGAGTGTTCATCCTGCTCCAGGCGTGAGAGATGATATTTCAAAACATCTCCGCATGAACTGGAGTGACTCTGTCCTCGCCACAGTGTGTAGTTTCTTAGTGGTCCAGGTACGATCAAGATGGCCGCCGGAATTCAGATTGTCAAGCACACTGCTGCTGCCCGCCACAGCCTCCCTTTCTATGGGCTGGAATCAGGGCCATTGGTCCACAGGTGCTCTCGACCCAAAGCTCCCTTATCTAGGTGGTGGCCATGGTGACTTATATCCACGTGGAGAGTCCAGGGCTCCGCCGCAGGGCCATGCAGTGTCCACCCCCTTTTTCCTCCTTTCAACAGAGTTGCTTTCCTCTCTCCTAGTCAGATGGAGATGGGGAAAGCATACAGGCAGAAGTTTCGTTTGTTTGTTTGGTTTTTGATGGAAGAGTTTCCTGTGCGGCTCTGTAGACCAGAGCTGGTCCAGAACTCAGAGAGATCCGCCTACCTCTGCCTCCCAATTGCTGGGATTAAAGGCGTGTCCCAACACCCTCCAGGAAAGCATAGGCCGAACTGCGCTGGTGGTGCACCGCTTTAATCCCAGCACTCCGGAGGCAGATGCAGGCAGATCTGTGTGACTTCCAGGCCTGCCTGGACCGACAGCCTCCAAAACAATACGGAGAAAACCTATCTAGCAAAAACAAAAAATAAAAAAATAAAAAAAAATAAAAAATAAACAAATAAATAAAAACAAAACAAACAAAAAAGAGAAGTGATTTACTTGATCCGTGAAAGCCCACCAATGATCCAAGGCCCCTTCTTTGTGAGTATGCAAATCTCATCCTCAGAGAAGATCCAAGGACTCCAAGGGCCTCCAGTTGGTTATTTAATCCTCAGCAGACACAGGATCCATTAACAGCATCTCCTTCCTGTGTCTCTAACTGCCTAGTGAGGTGGGCAGGCTCAGAGGTTTAATCCCAGTCATTGGCCTTCAGAGCAGATCTGCTCACCTAGTTTACAGGCAGCCAGGACAAGGATTACCTGTGGTTTAGGGAAATTGTCAGACTTCCAGACAGGCGTTGATTGGTGCGGGCGTGGCAGGTAGGCGGGGCAAGCCTCGGTTAAATAGCTGCCACCTGTTTGGCTGCTTCAGAGTGTTACCTGTGAGGTACAAGGAGAAGGAGCGCAGGACTTCGGAAGACAGGTAAAGCCAGGGCTGCAGAGAGGAGTTTGGGGGCTTGGGAGAGTCTGGGTGGTGGGCAGCCTGGCAACTGGAGGCAGAAGTGCCGGATTGAGGATGGGATCCATGGGGCCAGTGGTGGGTGTGCGGTCCTGCTTGGGTCCCCTTCTGGACCAGCTGTGCTCGGAGCAAGGGCTCTGGCCCCAGGGTCTCAGCTCCCATATCTGGTAGACCACTCGCCACTACTCGGGGCTCCTAGACTGGGCTCCTTTTGAAATAAGGGGTCTACTTGCCCCATTTTAGTCCCAATGGCTGTTTGCCACTGCAGGATATCTGGTTATTTATTTAGTGGCAGGGTTTGTGTGGATCTGGCTTCGAACTGAGCTCCTCTGGCTTTTACTTCTGGAGAGATGGAAGTACGGGCAAGCCCCAGAATATTCTACTTTGAACTGATTTTTCCCGTAGTCTTCCTTCCTCTTTGTTTGTGAGATGTAGCAGTACTAATAAAGACCCAGTAACAGGTATTGGGATTAAAGGTGAGGATCTGAGACGCAGAGTGGCCAGCCAGTAGAGTTCTCAACAATGCTCACAAGGAATGGGTGATCCTGTTCTCCAGACTACATCTGCCTCCACCAGATGTCAGAGTGTACTGAGCTCCTGTCTCCTCCCAATTTGGGCTGGGATTAAAGGCGTGGATCCCAAGTACTGAACAAACCTTGGTGTGAGCTGTTTTAAACGATCCGTTTCCTGTAGTTCAGGGTAGCCTTGAAATAGATCCTTCTGCCTGCTTCTCATGGGTGTTGGGATTAAAGGTATGTCCCACCACAGCCTGGCCTCTAACACTAGTGTGGCTGCTGGGAATAAAGGTGTGTCCCACGGCTCCCTGGCCTCCATAGCTAACTAATGCAGCTGCTAGATTAAAGGTGTGACCCGCTGCTGCCTGGGTTCACATCCTTCTGCCTTACTTACTTGGTGCTGGGGTTATGACCATGGCTTCCACACCAGGCTCTGTCCTCATCAGTGTTTTTGTGATATGCTGGTTTGAGTTCATTATCCATGCCTTAGGACAGCAATCCAGACACGGGAATCCTGATGCATGTTTTCCTGCTTTGATGGAGGAATGAAATACAGTTATTCGGGAAAGGGTGAAATAGTTGCTAAATAATTTCATGTACGTTACTTAACGTATTAAGTATCCTAAGACATTTTCTAAAAAGTGTTTTTTTTTTTTAACTAGAGCTTTTGAAATGGGGAAAATGGGCAGGTAGGGTTTTTTTTTTCTTTTTTCTTTTGTTTTATTTTTTTGGTTGTTTTGGTTATTTTATTTTGTTTGAGACATGGTTTCCTGTGTACCCCTAACTGTCAAGCTCAGAAATCCTCCTGCATCTGCCTCCTGAAAGCCATGATTAAAGTCATAAACCACCACTGTCTGTCTTAGTAAAGGGCGTTTTTGGTTTTTGTTGTTAACACTACCTTCTCATGTGTCTCTGCCAACAAGACAAGTTAGTGACCAAATACTTCTTGATTTGTTTGTTTCAGGATACAGCGGGAAAATGGCCACTGAACAAATTTTACAGACAAACCTGTCCACTATGGATAAAATAGCCCTGGGCCTTGGAATACCAGCAGGTGTAACTGTGGCCTATATTCTATACCGCCGATACAGGGAAAGCCGAGCAGAGCAATTGACACATGTTGGAAAAGATGATGTTCATATGGAAATGAGAGTGCCCCAGGAGGCTGTGAGGCTGATCATTGGTCGGCAAGGAGCCAATATTAAACGGCTGCGGAAACAGACAGGCGCTCGCATTGACTTGGACTTGGACTTGGACGATGAGGGTGATGAGCGTGTGGTGTTGCTGAGCGGCTCACCTGTTGAGGTGTGCAAAGCCAAAGCAGCAATCGATCAGATCCTGACAGAGAACATCCTGGTATCTGAGGAGCTCTGCGTCCCCCAGCGATCCGTGGGCAGAATCATTGGGAGAGGTGGCAAGACGATTCGTTCTATCTGTAAGGCTTCTGGAGCCAAAATTACGTGCGATAAAGAATCAGAGGGGTCGTTACTACTGTCAAGACTCATAAAAATCTCGGGGACACAGAAGGAAGTGGAAGCTGCAAAGCATCTGATAATGGAGAAAGTGTTAGAAGAACTTCGAAACAGGATTACCCTTTCTATTGTTCCACGAAAGCAGCCTATCTGTGTTAGAGGAGAGGAAGTCATAGAGCCAGGAGGGGCTGGCAAAGCAGCCTTATTACACCTGGAGGTTCCTGTCAGCAAAGGTGGTGGCGATATGGTTGCTGCAGCACCAGAAGAAGGTTCCTGGCAGACACCTAATGACGGCCTTCAGAATTCTGGTGTCCACAACTATCCAGAGACATCCGTGTTTGAAGTTGCCAGTGCCGACTTCATTTTCCGGGCCGATGAGTTCCTAGACGTCTTCGTTTCTGCTTCTGAAAACCCTAACCGCCTCTGGATCCAAATCATTAGCTCGCACAGCCCCCATTTTCAAAAACTTATCATTGAGATGACCCAGCACTATGAAAGTAGTCTGCCTGAAGACTTGAGTGTGAACGTAGGAGACTTTGTAGCAGCACGTTACTCTGTAGATGGTTGCTGGTATCGAGCCAAGATTCTTAGTACCCTGGAAAATGGGCACTTGGACCTATATTTTGTTGACTTTGGAAATAATAGGAACTGCCCAGTGGAGGATCTGAGGGCTCTCAAGATGGACTTCCTGATCCTTCCTTTTCAAGCAATAGAATGCAGTCTGGCACGGATTGGCCCCTCAGGTGAACAGTGGGAAGAGGAAGCTCTTGATGAGTTTGAAAGACTCACTGCCTGTGGTGCCTGGAAGCCATTGGTGGCCAAGTTCTCTGGCGATGTCCATAATGGAAAGTCAACTTGGCCAGAAATCTATTTGTATGATACCAGCAATGGGCAGGAACTTGATATTGGGTTAGAATTAGTTCGTAAAGGATATGCAGTCGAACTTCCAGAAGATGTGGAAGAAGATGGAACTTTCCCATATACGTTGAGGATGGACATGATGGACATGATGGACGTGATGGACATGGCAGAGGAGGCAGATTCTTCTTTTTCCAGCATAGTCAGTGAGACCAGAATGATGATCCCTGAAGAGTTACCTCGTGCCTATTCCTGCCTCAGCTTAACAAAAGCCGAAGTGTTCAGAAGAAGATGTAGAAGAGTCGCATCAATATAAAGGCCTCATGGGGGAAGGGAGTGCTGAGGATACTGAAGAGAGTTCCATTGTAGTATTCCTTCAGGTATTTGCTTATGAACTTTCTTGTAAATGCAAGTAGAAGAAACGTAGAGACAACTTAGGACATGTTAAATTAACAGTATGTCTGTATACACACATCTAGAGAAATAAAGAATGTACTTCTGCTTGGAAAAAAAAATTGTATGTAGCATTTCACTTCAACTACATGAACAGAAATCTCTTCCAAGGATTCCAAAGAAGTCAAAGGAATAGCGCTTCCGTGGCTCAATATTTACTTGATAATTTCCTATCAGTCAAATACAATATTTTAGCTGCTCTGACGATGAAACATGTGTTATGGAATAAAAAGTTTTATAGTCTGAATCCCCTCCATCAGGGTGCGATGCATTTTACACTGTTGCTGATACCTATGCATTGCTAATAGTCACTTTCTGATGTGTGTATACGAATGTGTGTGTGTGTGTGTGTGTGTGTGTGTGTGTGTATGAGAGTGATTACTGATTATAAAGCATCTTACATATTTGAGAGTTTTTCCTAAAAATATTTGAAATATTTGCTTTGGTTTTTAAATCAAAGTACATTGTTTCATACTTTGATAAGTTTGTGCATCCATACAATGTATTCATCTCATATCCATACCTTTAACACACCCCCAAACTTATCCCAGGCCCTCTGTTAACTCCTGCTGTTTCATAAACCTCTTCTTTGATTTGGTTTGCTTCATTTAAATTTTTGTGTGTGTGTGTGTGTTCTCAAGAGAGGTTTTCTCTCTGAAGCCTGGCATCCTGGAACTTGCTCTAGACCTGGCTGATATCAAACTCAGTGACTCCCCTGCCACTTCTACACCTGTGATGGGGTTAAAGGTTATTGCTACCCTAAAGACATTCCCAGGAATCCAACAAAACCACTCAATCTCCATCTAAGAATCTAAGAAATAATGGACAAGGCACCATACATGTCTTTCCTATGTAATGAGATTGATCAGTACCTTAAGTTCCATCCTAGAACCTTTGCCCAGTATTGATGGAGGCAGATATCCACAGATAAGCACTGGACCAATCTCCTTGAGTCCAGTTGCAGAGACTGAGAAGTGATGAGGAAAGTGGTCAAGACCGTGCTGGGGAAACCCACAGAAACAGCTTGACCTGAGCTAGTGGGAGTTAACTGACTCCTTGGGGAACCTGCATGAGACCGAACTAGGTTCCTTGAACCTGTGTGTGAGCTGGGGGTTTTCGGCAGTCTATGGGGCATCTGGCTTTGCAACCAGGATTTATCCATAATACATGAACTGTGTTTCTGGAACCCATTTCCTATGGGCTCCCATTAGAGGCAGGGAGGGAGGGCCTTATTTCTGTCCCAAATGATGATGTCCCAGACTTTGATGCCCCTTGGAAGGCCTCAGTGTCTGTTAGTAGTGGAGTGGGCGTGGGATGGGGAGGTAGTGGGTGGAGTGGGGGCTCAGAAGGCAGAGGGAACAGAGATTGCTGTTTGAAAAAGATTGCTTTAAAAATAGTATGTGTGCCACCACACCCGATTCATAACTTGTTCTGATTTAAAGACCCAAAGAGTCCAATTGGTGTTGCACATATGTGCATGGGTATAGGACCATACCGAGGAGCACAACCAACCTGCCTATCCACGCCCATGTACCCGATATTAACTAACTTAGGCTCCTCCAGGAGACATCAACTCTCATTAACTCAGCTAGCTTTAGGACCTCATGAGCTTGAGTACTGATTGGCTTAATCTTCTCAAAGTATACAATATGTAACTTTGCAGTTTTAGCTCTGAAATTCACTGCCACTGGCATCTGCTCTTACACACCATTCAGTGTTTAGCAGGGCCTCTTAAAAGGGCCTTGCAGTTTTGTTTTGTTTTGGTTTTATTTATTTATTTTTTTTTTGCCGCTTATGCCGACACAGGAAGACTCCAGTAAGGGAGCCCTGTGAGTCTGCTTGTCTCTAGCAAAACAGAGCCCACCAGAGAAACATGTTGCTCTCTGCTCTTTTGTTTTTAGAATCCTCTTAAACTTTTGTCATTCTACTTGGTATTTCATGATGGGAGGTGGCCTCAGTGAGGAGACAGGGGAGGAGGGGAGGCTGATTACCATGTGAAGCAAACTTGTTTCAAAATTTAAAAAAAAAGTTCCTTTCTGCAAAAGTGTATGTGAATATGTGTGTGTGCTGTTTGTGTGTGTGTGTGTGTGTGTGTTTACTGTGGAATGTATTGTGATAATTTCCCCAGGAATCTAGTTGTACTGGTTACCTCTGAAGACACATTTTCTGCATTTACTTTTCCTTACTTGTGACTCTTCTGGGAGGTGCAAGTATGACTTCCCCAATTCTATGGTTTCTGAGTGACTAGAAGTCAAGCATGTGTGTAGGTCCCAGCTGCTAAAGAACTAAATCTGAGGACAGCCTGGGCAACATACCAAACATCTGTCTCTGAAATAACAGTAATAACAATAATAACAATAATAATGGGAAAACTGACCCAAAGACATCTGAGTGACCAGAAACGATGTTGTAGTCGCTCAACAAACATTGTTTTGTCTGAGTGTTCATCCTGCTCCAGGCGTGAGAGATGATATTTCAAAACATCTCCGCATGAACTGGAGTGACTCTGTCCTCGCCACAGTGTGTAGTTTCTTAGTGGTCCAGGTACGATCAAGATGGCCGCCGGAATTCAGATTGTCAAGCACACTGCTGCTGCCCGCCACAGCCTCCCTTTCTATGGGCTGGAATCAGGGCCATTGGTCCACAGGTGCTCTCGACCCAAAGCTCCCTTATCTAGGTGGTGGCCATGGTGACTTATATCCACGTGGAGAGTCCAGGGCTCCGCCGCAGGGCCATGCAGTGTCCACCCCCTTTTTCCTCCTTTCAACAGAGTTGCTTTCCTCTCTCCTAGTCAGATGGAGATGGGGAAAGCATACAGGCAGAAGTTTCGTTTGTTTGTTTGGTTTTTGATGGAAGAGTTTCCTGTGCGGCTCTGTAGACCAGAGCTGGTCCTGAACTCAGAGAGATCCGCCTACCTCTGCCTCCCAATTGCTGGGATTAAAGGCGTGTCCCAACACCCTCCAGGAAAGCATAGGCCGAACTGCGCTGGTGGTGCACCGCTTTAATCCCAGCACTCCGGAGGCAGATGCAGGCAGATCTGTGTGACTTCCAGGCCTGCCTGGACCGACAGCCTCCAAAACAATACGGAGAAACCCTATCTAGCAAAAACAAAAAATAAAAAAATAAAAAAAATAAAAAATAAACAAATAAATAAAAACAAAACAAACAAAAAAGAGAAGTGATTTACTTGATCCGTGAAAGCCCACCAATGATCCAAGGCCCCTTCTTTGTGAGTATGCAAATCTCATCCTCAGAGAAGATCCAAGGACTCCAAGGGCCTCCAGTTGGTTATTTAATCCTCAGCAGACACAGGATCCATTAACAGCATCTCCTTCCTGTGTCTCTAACTGCCTAGTGAGGTGGGCAGGCTCAGAGGTTTAATCCCAGTCATTGGCCTTCAGAGCAGATCTGCTCACCTAGTTTACAGGCAGCCAGGACAAGGATTACCTGTGGTTTAGGGAAATTGTCAGACTTCCAGACAGGCGTTGATTGGTGCGGGCGTGGCAGGTAGGCGGGGCAAGCCTCGGTTAAATAGCTGCCACCTGTTTGGCTGCTTCAGAGTGTTACCTGTGAGGTACAAGGAGAAGGAGCGCAGGACTTCGGAAGACAGGTAAAGCCAGGGCTGCAGAGAGGAGTTTGGGGGCTTGGGAGAGTCTGGGTGGTGGGCAGCCTGGCAACTGGAGGCAGAAGTGCCGGATTGAGGATGGGATCCATGGGGCCAGTGGTGGGTGTGCGGTCCTGCTTGGGTCCCCTTCTGGACCAGCTGTGCTCGGAGCAAGGGCTCTGGCCCCAGGGTCTCAGCTCCCATATCTGGTAGACCACTCGCCACTACTCGGGGCTCCTAGACTGGGCTCCTTTTGAAATAAGGGGTCTACTTGCCCCATTTTAGTCCCAATGGCTGTTTGCCACTGCAGGATATCTGGTTATTTATTTAGTGGCAGGGTTTGTGTGGATCTGGCTTCGAACTGAGCTCCTCTGGCTTTTACTTCTGGAGAGATGGAAGTACGGGCAAGCCCCAGAATATTCTACTTTGAACTGATTTTTCCCGTAGTCTTCCTTCCTCTTTGTTTGTGAGATGTAGCAGTACTAATAAAGACCCAGTAACAGGTATTGGGATTAAAGGTGAGGATCTGAGACGCAGAGTGGCCAGCCAGTAGAGTTCTCAACAATGCTCACAAGGAATGGGCGATCCTGTTCTCTAGACTACATCTGCCTCCACCAGATGTCAGAGTGTACTGAGCTCCTGTCTCCTCCCAATTTGGGCTGGGATTAAAGGCGTGGATCCCAAGTACTGAACAAACCTTGGTGTGAGCTGTTTTAAACGATCCGTTTCCTGTAGTTCAGGGTAGCCTTGAAATAGATCCTTCTGCCTGCTTCTCATGGGTGTTGGGATTAAAGGTATGTCCCACCACAGCCTGGCCTCTAACACTAGTGTGGCTGCTGGGAATAAAGGTGTGTCCCACGGCTCCCTGGCCTCCATAGCTAACTAATGCAGCTGCTAGATTAAAGGTGTGACCCGCTGCTGCCTGGGTTCACATCCTTCTGCCTTACTTACTTGGTGCTGGGGTTATGACCATGGCTTCCACACCAGGCTCTGTCCTCATCAGTGTTTTTGTGATATGCTGGTTTGAGTTCATTATCCATGCCTTAGGACAGCAATCCAGACACGGGAATCCTGATGCATGTTTTCCTGCTTTGATGGAGGAATGAAATACAGTTATTCGGGAAAGGGTGAAATAGTTGCTAAATAATTTCATGTACGTTACTTAACGTATTAAGTATCCTAAGACATTTTCTAAAAAGTGTTTTTTTTTTTTTAACTAGAGCTTTTGAAATGGGGAAAATGGGCAGGTAGGGTTTTTTTTTTCTTTTTTCTTTTGTTTTATTTTTTTGGTTGTTTTGGTTATTTTATTTTGTTTGAGACATGGTTTCCTGTGTACCCCTAACTGTCAAGCTCAGAAATCCTCCTGCATCTGCCTCCTGAAAGCCATGATTAAAGTCATAAACCACCACTGTCTGTCTTAGTAAAGGGCGTTTTTGGTTTTTGTTGTTAACACTACCTTCTCATGTGTCTCTGCCAACAAGACAAGTTAGTGACCAAATACTTCTTGATTTGTTTGTTTCAGGATACAGCGGGAAAATGGCCACTGAACAAATTTTACAGACAAACCTGTCCACTATGGATAAAATAGCCCTGGGCCTTGGAATACCAGCAGGTGTAACTGTGGCCTATATTCTATACCGCCGATACAGGGAAAGCCGAGCAGAGCAATTGACACATGTTGGAAAAGATGATGTTCATATGGAAATGAGAGTGCCCCAGGAGGCTGTGAGGCTGATCATTGGTCGGCAAGGAGCCAATATTAAACGGCTGCGGAAACAGACAGGCGCTCGCATTGACTTGGACTTGGACTTGGACGATGAGGGTGATGAGCGTGTGGTGTTGCTGAGCGGCTCACCTGTTGAGGTGTGCAAAGCCAAAGCAGCAATCGATCAGATCCTGACAGAGAACATCCTGGTATCTGAGGAGCTCTGCGTCCCCCAGCGATCCGTGGGCAGAATCATTGGGAGAGGTGGCAAGACGATTCGTTCTATCTGTAAGGCTTCTGGAGCCAAAATTACGTGCGATAAAGAATCAGAGGGGTCGTTACTACTGTCAAGACTCATAAAAATCTCGGGGACACAGAAGGAAGTGGAAGCTGCAAAGCATCTGATAATGGAGAAAGTGTTAGAAGAACTTCGAAACAGGATTACCCTTTCTATTGTTCCACGAAAGCAGCCTATCTGTGTTAGAGGAGAGGAAGTCATAGAGCCAGGAGGGGCTGGCAAAGCAGCCTTATTACACCTGGAGGTTCCTGTCAGCAAAGGTGGTGGCGATATGGTTGCTGCAGCACCAGAAGAAGGTTCCTGGCAGACACCTAATGACGGCCTTCAGAATTCTGGTGTCCACAACTATCCAGAGACATCCGTGTTTGAAGTTGCCAGTGCCGACTTCATTTTCCGGGCCGATGAGTTCCTAGACGTCTTCGTTTCTGCTTCTGAAAACCCTAACCGCCTCTGGATCCAAATCATTAGCTCGCACAGCCCCCATTTTCAAAAACTTATCATTGAGATGACCCAGCACTATGAAAGTAGTCTGCCTGAAGACTTGAGTGTGAACGTAGGAGACTTTGTAGCAGCACGTTACTCTGTAGATGGTTGCTGGTATCGAGCCAAGATTCTTAGTACCCTGGAAAATGGGCACTTGGACCTATATTTTGTTGACTTTGGAAATAATAGGAACTGCCCAGTGGAGGATCTGAGGGCTCTCAAGATGGACTTCCTGATCCTTCCTTTTCAAGCAATAGAATGCAGTCTGGCACGGATTGGCCCCTCAGGTGAACAGTGGGAAGAGGAAGCTCTTGATGAGTTTGAAAGACTCACTGCCTGTGGTGCCTGGAAGCCATTGGTGGCCAAGTTCTCTGGCGATGTCCATAATGGAAAGTCAACTTGGCCAGAAATCTATTTGTATGATACCAGCAATGGGCAGGAACTTGATATTGGGTTAGAATTAGTTCGTAAAGGATATGCAGTCGAACTTCCAGAAGATGTGGAAGAAGATGGAACTTTCCCATATACGTTGAGGATGGACATGATGGACATGATGGACGTGATGGACATGGCAGAGGAGGCAGATTCTTCTTTTTCCAGCATAGTCAGTGAGACCAGAATGATGATCCCTGAAGAGTTACCTCGTGCCTATTCCTGCCTCAGCTTAACAAAAGCCGAAGTGTTCAGAAGAAGATGTAGAAGAGTCGCATCAATATAAAGGCCTCATGGGGGAAGGGAGTGCTGAGGATACTGAAGAGAGTTCCATTGTAGTATTCCTTCAGGTATTTGCTTATGAACTTTCTTGTAAATGCAAGTAGAAGAAACGTAGAGACAACTTAGGACATGTTAAATTAACAGTATGTCTGTATACACACATCTAGAGAAATAAAGAATGTACTTCTGCTTGGAAAAAAAATTGTATGTAGCATTTCACTTCAACTACATGAACAGAAATCTCTTCCAAGGATTCCAAAGAAGTCAAAGGAATAGCGCTTCCGTGGCTCAATATTTACTTGATAATTTCCTATCAGTCAAATACAATATTTTAGCTGCTCTGACGATGAAACATGTGTTATGGAATAAAAAGTTTTATAGTCTGAATCCCCTCCATCAGGGTGCGATGCATTTTACACTGTTGCTGATACCTATGCATTGCTAATAGTCACTTTCTGATGTGTGTATACGAATGTGTGTGTGTGTGTGTGTGTGTGTGTGTGTGTATGAGAGTGATTACTGATTATAAAGCATCTTACATATTTGAGAGTTTTTCCTAAAAATATTTGAAATATTTGCTTTGGTTTTTAAATCAAAGTACATTGTTTCATACTTTGGTAAGTTTGTGCATCCATACAATGTATTCATCTCATATCCATACCTTTAACACACCCCCAAACTTATCCCAGGCCCTCTGTTAACTCCTGCTGTTTCATAAACCTCTTCTTTGATTTGGTTTGCTTCATTTAAATTTTTGTGTGTGTGTGTGTGTTCTCAAGAGAGGTTTTCTCTCTGAAGCCTGGCATCCTGGAACTTGCTCTAGACCTGGCTGATATCAAACTCAGTGACTCCCCTGCCACTTCTACACCTGTGATGGGGTTAAAGGTTATTGCTACCCTAAAGACATTCCCAGGAATCCAACAAAACCACTCAATCTCCATCTAAGAATCTAAGAAATAATGGACAAGGCACCATACATGTCTTTCCTATGTAATGAGATTGATCAGTACCTTAAGTTCCATCCTAGAACCTTTGCCCAGTATTGATGGAGGCAGATATCCACAGATAAGCACTGGACCAATCTCCTTGAGTCCACTTGTAGAGACTGAGAAGTGATGAGGAAAGTGGTCAAGACCGTGCTGGGGGAAACCCACAGAAACAGCTTGACCTGAGCTAGTGGGAGTTAACTGACTCCTTGGGGAACCTGCATGAGACCGAACTAGGTTCCTTGAACCTGTGTGTGAGCTGGGGGTTTTCGGCAGTCTATGGGGCATCTGGCTTTGCAACCAGGATTTATCCATAATACATGAACTGTGTTTCTGGAACCCATTTCCTATGTGCTCCCATTAGAGGCAGGGAGGGAGGGCCTTATTTCTGTCCCAAATGATGATGTCCCAGACTTTGATGCCCCTTGGAAGGCCTCAGTGTCTGTTAGTAGTGGAGTGGGCGTGGGATGGGGAGGTAGTGGGTGGAGTGGGGGCTCAGAAGGCAGAGGGAACAGAGATTGCTGTTTGAAAAAGATTGCTTTAAAAATAGTATGTGTGCCACCACACCCGATTCATAACTTGTTCTGATTTAAAGACCCAAAGAGTCCAATTGGTGTTGCACATATGTGCATGGGTATAGGACCATACCGAGGAGCACAACCAACCTGCCTATCCACGCCCATGTACCCGATATTAACTAAATTAGGCTCCTCCAGGAGACATCAACTCTCATTAACTCAGCTAGCTTTAGGACCTCATGAGCTTGAGTACTGATTGGCTTAATCTTCTCAAAGTATACAATATGTAACTTTGCAGTTTTAGCTCTGAAATTCACTGCCACTGGCATCTGCTCTTACACACCATTCAGTGTTTAGCAGGGCCTCTTAAAAGGGCCTTGCAGTTTTGTTTTGTTTTGGTTTTATTTATTTATTTTTTTTTTGCCGCTTATGCCGACACAGGAAGACTCCAGTAAGGGAGCCCTGTGAGTCTGCTTGTCTCTAGCAAAACAGAGCCCACCAGAGAAACATGTTGCTCTCTGCTCTTTTGTTTTTAGAATCCTCTTAAACTTTTGTCATTCTACTTGGTATTTCATGATGGGAGGTGGCCTCAGTGAGGAGACAGGGGAGGAGGGGAGGCTGATTACCATGTGAAGCAAACTTGTTTCAAAATTTAAAAAAAAAAGTTCCTTTCTGCAAAAGTGTATGTGAATATGTGTGTGTGTCTGTTTGTGTGTGTGTGTGTGTGTGTGTTTACTGTGGAATGTATTGTGATAATTTCCCCAGGAATCTAGTTGTACTGGTTACCTCTGAAGACACATTTTCTGCATTTACTTTTCCTTACTTGTGACTCTTCTGGGAGGTGCAAGTATGACTTCCCCAATTCTATGGTTTCTGAGTGACTAGAAGTCAAGCATGTGTGTAGGTCCCAGCTGCTAAAGAACTAAATCTGAGGACAGCCTGGGCAACATACCAAACATCTGTCTCTGAAATAACAGTAATAACAATAATAACAATAATAATGGGAAAACTGACCCAAAGACATCTGAGTGACCAGAAACGATGTTGTAGTCGCTCAACAAACATTGTTTTGTCTGAGTGTTCATCCTGCTCCAGGCGTGAGAGATGATATTTCAAAACATCTCCGCATGAACTGGAGTGACTCTGTCCTCGCCACAGTGTGTAGTTTCTTAGTGGTCCAGGTACGATCAAGATGGCCGCCGGAATTCAGATTGTCAAGCACACTGCTGCTGCCCGCCACAGCCTCCCTTTCTATGGGCTGGAATCAGGGCCATTGGTCCACAGGTGCTCTCGACCCAAAGCTCCCTTATCTAGGTGGTGGCCATGGTGACTTATATCCACGTGGAGAGTCCAGGGCTCCGCCGCAGGGCCATGCAGTGTCCACCCCCTTTTTCCTCCTTTCAACAGAGTTGCTTTCCTCTCTCCTAGTCAGATGGAGATGGGGAAAGCATACAGGCAGAAGTTTCGTTTGTTTGTTTGGTTTTTGATGGAAGAGTTTCCTGTGCGGCTCTGTAGACCAGAGCTGGTCCTGAACTCAGAGAGATCCGCCTACCTCTGCCTCCCAATTGCTGGGATTAAAGGCGTGTCCCAACACCCTCCAGGAAAGCATAGGCCGAACTGCGCTGGTGGTGCACCGCTTTAATCCCAGCACTCCGGAGGCAGATGCAGGCAGATCTGTGTGACTTCCAGGCCTGCCTGGACCGACAGCCTCCAAAACAATACGGAGAAACCCTATCTAGCAAAAACAAAAAATAAAAAAATAAAAAAAATAAAAAATAAACAAATAAATAAAAACAAAACAAACAAAAAAGAGAAGTGATTTACTTGATCCGTGAAAGCCCACCAATGATCCAAGGCCCCTTCTTTGTGAGTATGCAAATCTCATCCTCAGAGAAGATCCAAGGACTCCAAGGGCCTCCAGTTGGTTATTTAATCCTCAGCAGACACAGGATCCATTAACAGCATCTCCTTCCTGTGTCTCTAACTGCCTAGTGAGGTGGGCAGGCTCAGAGGTTTAATCCCAGTCATTGGCCTTCAGAGCAGATCTGCTCACCTAGTTTACAGGCAGCCAGGACAAGGATTACCTGTGGTTTAGGGAAATTGTCAGACTTCCAGACAGGCGTTGATTGGTGCGGGCGTGGCAGGTAGGCGGGGCAAGCCTCGGTTAAATAGCTGCCACCTGTTTGGCTGCTTCAGAGTGTTACCTGTGAGGTACAAGGAGAAGGAGCGCAGGACTTCGGAAGACAGGTAAAGCCAGGGCTGCAGAGAGGAGTTTGGGGGCTTGGGAGAGTCTGGGTGGTGGGCAGCCTGGCAACTGGAGGCAGAAGTGCCGGATTGAGGATGGGATCCATGGGGCCAGTGGTGGGTGTGCGGTCCTGCTTGGGTCCCCTTCTGGACCAGCTGTGCTCGGAGCAAGGGCTCTGGCCCCAGGGTCTCAGCTCCCATATCTGGTAGACCACTCGCCACTACTCGGGGCTCCTAGACTGGGCTCCTTTTGAAATAAGGGGTCTACTTGCCCCATTTTAGTCCCAATGGCTGTTTGCCACTGCAGGATATCTGGTTATTTATTTAGTGGCAGGGTTTGTGTGGATCTGGCTTCGAACTGAGCTCCTCTGGCTTTTACTTCTGGAGAGATGGAAGTACGGGCAAGCCCCAGAATATTCTACTTTGAACTGATTTTTCCCGTAGTCTTCCTTCCTCTTTGTTTGTGAGATGTAGCAGTACTAATAAAGACCCAGTAACAGGTATTGGGATTAAAGGTGAGGATCTGAGACGCAGAGTGGCCAGCCAGTAGAGTTCTCAACAATGCTCACAAGGAATGGGCGATCCTGTTCTCTAGACTACATCTGCCTCCACCAGATGTCAGAGTGTACTGAGCTCCTGTCTCCTCCCAATTTGGGCTGGGATTAAAGGCGTGGATCCCAAGTACTGAACAAACCTTGGTGTGAGCTGTTTTAAACGATCCGTTTCCTGTAGTTCAGGGTAGCCTTGAAATAGATCCTTCTGCCTGCTTCTCATGGGTGTTGGGATTAAAGGTATGTCCCACCACAGCCTGGCCTCTAACACTAGTGTGGCTGCTGGGAATAAAGGTGTGTCCCACGGCTCCCTGGCCTCCATAGCTAACTAATGCAGCTGCTAGATTAAAGGTGTGACCCGCTGCTGCCTGGGTTCACATCCTTCTGCCTTACTTACTTGGTGCTGGGGTTATGACCATGGCTTCCACACCAGGCTCTGTCCTCATCAGTGTTTTTGTGATATGCTGGTTTGAGTTCATTATCCATGCCTTAGGACAGCAATCCAGACACGGGAATCCTGATGCATGTTTTCCTGCTTTGATGGAGGAATGAAATACAGTTATTCGGGAAAGGGTGAAATAGTTGCTAAATAATTTCATGTACGTTACTTAACGTATTAAGTATCCTAAGACATTTTCTAAAAAGTGTTTTTTTTTTTTTAACTAGAGCTTTTGAAATGGGGAAAATGGGCAGGTAGGGTTTTTTTTTTCTTTTTTCTTTTGTTTTATTTTTTTGGTTGTTTTGGTTATTTTATTTTGTTTGAGACATGGTTTCCTGTGTACCCCTAACTGTCAAGCTCAGAAATCCTCCTGCATCTGCCTCCTGAAAGCCATGATTAAAGTCATAAACCACCACTGTCTGTCTTAGTAAAGGGCGTTTTTGGTTTTTGTTGTTAACACTACCTTCTCATGTGTCTCTGCCAACAAGACAAGTTAGTGACCAAATACTTCTTGATTTGTTTGTTTCAGGATACAGCGGGAAAATGGCCACTGAACAAATTTTACAGACAAACCTGTCCACTATGGATAAAATAGCCCTGGGCCTTGGAATACCAGCAGGTGTAACTGTGGCCTATATTCTATACCGCCGATACAGGGAAAGCCGAGCAGAGCAATTGACACATGTTGGAAAAGATGATGTTCATATGGAAATGAGAGTGCCCCAGGAGGCTGTGAGGCTGATCATTGGTCGGCAAGGAGCCAATATTAAACGGCTGCGGAAACAGACAGGCGCTCGCATTGACTTGGACTTGGACTTGGACGATGAGGGTGATGAGCGTGTGGTGTTGCTGAGCGGCTCACCTGTTGAGGTGTGCAAAGCCAAAGCAGCAATCGATCAGATCCTGACAGAGAACATCCTGGTATCTGAGGAGCTCTGCGTCCCCCAGCGATCCGTGGGCAGAATCATTGGGAGAGGTGGCAAGACGATTCGTTCTATCTGTAAGGCTTCTGGAGCCAAAATTACGTGCGATAAAGAATCAGAGGGGTCGTTACTACTGTCAAGACTCATAAAAATCTCGGGGACACAGAAGGAAGTGGAAGCTGCAAAGCATCTGATAATGGAGAAAGTGTTAGAAGAACTTCGAAACAGGATTACCCTTTCTATTGTTCCACGAAAGCAGCCTATCTGTGTTAGAGGAGAGGAAGTCATAGAGCCAGGAGGGGCTGGCAAAGCAGCCTTATTACACCTGGAGGTTCCTGTCAGCAAAGGTGGTGGCGATATGGTTGCTGCAGCACCAGAAGAAGGTTCCTGGCAGACACCTAATGACGGCCTTCAGAATTCTGGTGTCCACAACTATCCAGAGACATCCGTGTTTGAAGTTGCCAGTGCCGACTTCATTTTCCGGGCCGATGAGTTCCTAGACGTCTTCGTTTCTGCTTCTGAAAACCCTAACCGCCTCTGGATCCAAATCATTAGCTCGCACAGCCCCCATTTTCAAAAACTTATCATTGAGATGACCCAGCACTATGAAAGTAGTCTGCCTGAAGACTTGAGTGTGAACGTAGGAGACTTTGTAGCAGCACGTTACTCTGTAGATGGTTGCTGGTATCGAGCCAAGATTCTTAGTACCCTGGAAAATGGGCACTTGGACCTATATTTTGTTGACTTTGGAAATAATAGGAACTGCCCAGTGGAGGATCTGAGGGCTCTCAAGATGGACTTCCTGATCCTTCCTTTTCAAGCAATAGAATGCAGTCTGGCACGGATTGGCCCCTCAGGTGAACAGTGGGAAGAGGAAGCTCTTGATGAGTTTGAAAGACTCACTGCCTGTGGTGCCTGGAAGCCATTGGTGGCCAAGTTCTCTGGCGATGTCCATAATGGAAAGTCAACTTGGCCAGAAATCTATTTGTATGATACCAGCAATGGGCAGGAACTTGATATTGGGTTAGAATTAGTTCGTAAAGGATATGCAGTCGAACTTCCAGAAGATGTGGAAGAAGATGGAACTTTCCCATATACGTTGAGGATGGACATGATGGACATGATGGACGTGATGGACATGGCAGAGGAGGCAGATTCTTCTTTTTCCAGCATAGTCAGTGAGACCAGAATGATGATCCCTGAAGAGTTACCTCGTGCCTATTCCTGCCTCAGCTTAACAAAAGCCGAAGTGTTCAGAAGAAGATGTAGAAGAGTCGCATCAATATAAAGGCCTCATGGGGGAAGGGAGTGCTGAGGATACTGAAGAGAGTTCCATTGTAGTATTCCTTCAGGTATTTGCTTATGAACTTTCTTGTAAATGCAAGTAGAAGAAACGTAGAGACAACTTAGGACATGTTAAATTAACAGTATGTCTGTATACACACATCTAGAGAAATAAAGAATGTACTTCTGCTTGGAAAAAAAATTGTATGTAGCATTTCACTTCAACTACATGAACAGAAATCTCTTCCAAGGATTCCAAAGAAGTCAAAGGAATAGCGCTTCCGTGGCTCAATATTTACTTGATAATTTCCTATCAGTCAAATACAATATTTTAGCTGCTCTGACGATGAAACATGTGTTATGGAATAAAAAGTTTTATAGTCTGAATCCCTCCATCAGGGTGCGATGCATTTTACACTGTTGCTGATACCTATGCATTGCTAATAGTCACTTTCTGATGTGTGTATACGAATGTGTGTGTGTGTGTGTGTGTGTGTGTGTGTGTGTGTGTATGAGAGTGATTACTGATTATAAAGCATCTTACATATTTGAGAGTTTTTCCTAAAAATATTTGAAATATTTGCTTTGGTTTTTAAATCAAAGTACATTGTTTCATACTTTGGTAAGTTTGTGCATCCATACAATGTATTCATCTCATATACATACCTTTAACACACCCCAAACTTATCCCAGGCCCTCTGTTAACTCCTGCTGTTTCATAAACCTCTTCTTTGATTTGGTTTACTTCATTTAAATTTTTGTGTGTGTGTGAGTGTTCTCAAGAGAGGTTTTCTCTCTGAAGCCTGGCATCCTGGAACTTGCTCTAGACCAGGCTGATATCAAACTCAGTGACTCCCCTGCCACTTCTACACCTGTGATGGGGTTAAAGGTTATTGCTACCCTAAAGACATTCCCAGGAATCCAACAAAACCACTCAATCTCCATCTAAGAATCTAAGAAATAATGGACAAGGCACCATACATGTCTTTCCTATGTAATGAGATTGATCAGTACCTTAAGTTCCATCCTAGAACCTTTGCCCAGTATTGATGGAGGCAGATATCCACAGATAAGCACTGGACCAATCTCCTTGAGTCCAGTTGCAGAGACTGAGAAGTGATGAGGAAAGTGGTCAAGACCGTGCTGGGGGAAACCCACAGAAGCAGCTTGACCTGAGCTAGTGGGAGTTAACTGACTCCTTGGGGAACCTGCATGAGACCGAACTAGGTTCCTTGGAACCTGTGTGTGAGCTGGGGGTTTTTGGCAGTCTATGGGGCATCTGGCTTTGCAACCAGGATTTATCCATAATACATGAACTGTGTTTCCGGGACCCATTTCTATGGGCTCCCATTAGGAGGCAGGGAGGGAGGGCCTTGTTTCTGTCCCAAATGATGATGTCCCAGACTTTGATGCCCCTTGAAGGCCTCAGTGTCTGTTAGTAGTGGAGTGGGCGTGGGATGGGGAGGTAGTGGGTGGAGTGGGGGCTCAGAAGGCAGGAGGGAACAGAGATTGCTGTTTGAAAAAGATTGCTTTAAAAATAGTATGTGTGCCACCACACCGATTCATAACTTGTTCTGATTTAAAGACCCAAAGAGTCCAATTGGTGTTGCACATATGTGCATGGGTATAGGACCATACCGAGGAGCACAACCAACCTGCCTATCCACGCCCATGTACCCGATATTAACTAACTTAAGGCTCCTCCAGGGAGACACTCAACTCTCATTAACTCAGCTAGCTTTAGGACCTCATGAGCTTGAGTACTGATTGGCTTAATCTTCTCAAAGTATACAATATGTAACTTTGCAGTTTTAGCTCTGAAATTCACTGCCACTGGCATCTGCTCTTACATACCATTCAGTGTTTAGCAGGGCCTCTTAAAAGGGCCTTGCAGTTTTGTTTTGTTTTGGTTTTATTTTTTTTTTTTTTGCCGCTTATGCCAACACAGGAAGACTCCAGTAAGGGAGCCCTGTGAGTCTGCTTGTCTCTAGCAAAACAGAGCCCACCAGAGAAACATGTTGCTCTCTGCTCTTTTGTTTTTAGAATCCTGTTAAACTTTTGTCATTCTACTTGGTATTTCATGATGCCAGGCGGCCTCAGTGAGGAGACAGGGGAGGAGGGGAGGCTGATTACCATGTGAAGCAAACTTGTTTCAAAATTAAAAAAGAAAAGGTTCTTTCTGCAAAAGTGTATGTGAATATGTGTGTGTGTGTGTGTGTGTGTGTGTGTGTGTGTGTGTGTGTGTTTACTGTGGAATGTATTGTGAAAATTTCCCCAGGAATGTAGTTGTACTGGTTACCTCTGAAGACACATTTTCTGCATTTACTTTTCCTTACTTGTGACTCTTCTGGGAGGTGCAAGTTTGACTTCCCCAAATCTATTGTTTCTGAGTGACTAGAAGTCAAGCATGTGTGTAGGTCCCAGCTGCTAAAGAACTAAATCTGAGGACAGCCTGGGCAACATACCAAACATCTGTCTCTGAAATAACAGTAATAACAATAATAACAATGATAATGGGAAAACTGACCCAAAGACATCTGAGTGACCAGAAACGATGTTGTAGTCGCTCAACAAACATTGTTTTGTCTGAGTGTTCATCCTGCTCCAGGCGTGAGAGATGATATTTCAAAACATCTCCGCATGAACTGGAGTGACTCTGTCCTCGCCACAGTGTGTAGTTTCTTAGTGGTCCAGGTACGATCAAGATGGCCGCCGGAATTCAGATTGTCAAGCACACTGCTGCTGCCCGCCACAGCCTCCCTTTCTATGGGCTGGAATCAGGGCCATTGGTCCACAGGTGCTCTCGACCCAAAGCTCCCTTATCTAGGTGGTGGCCATGGTGACTTATATCCACGTGGAGAGTCCAGGGCTCCGCCGCAGGGCCATGCAGTGTCCACCCCCTTTTTCCTCCTTTCAACAGAGTTGCTTTCCTCTCTCCTAGTCAGATGGAGATGGGGAAAGCATACAGGCAGAAGTTTCGTTTGTTTGTTTGGTTTTTGATGGAAGAGTTTCCTGTGCGGCTCTGTAGACCAGAGCTGGTCCTGAACTCAGAGAGATCCGCCTACCTCTGCCTCCCAATTGCTGGGATTAAAGGCGTGTCCCAACACCCTCCAGGAAAGCATAGGCCGAACTGCGCTGGTGGTGCACCGCTTTAATCCCAGCACTCCGGAGGCAGATGCAGGCAGATCTGTGTGACTTCCAGGCCTGCCTGGACCGACAGCCTCCAAAACAATACGGAGAAACCCTATCTAGCAAAAACAAAAAATAAAAAAATAAAAAAAATAAAAAATAAACAAATAAATAAAAACAAAACAAACAAAAAAGAGAAGTGATTTACTTGATCCGTGAAAGCCCACCAATGATCCAAGGCCCCTTCTTTGTGAGTATGCAAATCTCATCCTCAGAGAAGATCCAAGGACTCCAAGGGCCTCCAGTTGGTTATTTAATCCTCAGCAGACACAGGATCCATTAACAGCATCTCCTTCCTGTGTCTCTAACTGCCTAGTGAGGTGGGCAGGCTCAGAGGTTTAATCCCAGTCATTGGCCTTCAGAGCAGATCTGCTCACCTAGTTTACAGGCAGCCAGGACAAGGATTACCTGTGGTTTAGGGAAATTGTCAGACTTCCAGACAGGCGTTGATTGGTGCGGGCGTGGCAGGTAGGCGGGGCAAGCCTCGGTTAAATAGCTGCCACCTGTTTGGCTGCTTCAGAGTGTTACCTGTGAGGTACAAGGAGAAGGAGCGCAGGACTTCGGAAGACAGGTAAAGCCAGGGCTGCAGAGAGGAGTTTGGGGGCTTGGGAGAGTCTGGGTGGTGGGCAGCCTGGCAACTGGAGGCAGAAGTGCCGGATTGAGGATGGGATCCATGGGGCCAGTGGTGGGTGTGCGGTCCTGCTTGGGTCCCCTTCTGGACCAGCTGTGCTCGGAGCAAGGGCTCTGGCCCCAGGGTCTCAGCTCCCATATCTGGTAGACCACTCGCCACTACTCGGGGCTCCTAGACTGGGCTCCTTTTGAAATAAGGGGTCTACTTGCCCCATTTTAGTCCCAATGGCTGTTTGCCACTGCAGGATATCTGGTTATTTATTTAGTGGCAGGGTTTGTGTGGATCTGGCTTTGAACTGAGCTCCTCTGGCTTTTACTTCTGGAGAGATGGAAGTACGGGCAAGCCCCAGAATATTCTACTTTGAACTGATTTTTCCCGTAGTCTTCCTTCCTCTTTGTTTGTGAGATGTAGCAGTACTAATAAAGACCCAGTAACAGGTATTGGGATTAAAGGTGAGGATCTGAGACGCAGAGTGGCCAGCCAGTAGAGTTCTCAACAATGCTCACAAGGAATGGGCGATCCTGTTCTCTAGACTACATCTGCCTCCACCAGATGTCAGAGTGTACTGAGCTCCTGTCTCCTCCCAATTTGGGCTGGGATTAAAGGCGTGGATCCCAAGTACTGAACAAACCTTGGTGTGAGCTGTTTTAAACGATCCGTTTCCTGTAGTTCAGGGTAGCCTTGAAATAGATCCTTCTGCCTGCTTCTCATGGGTGTTGGGATTAAAGGTATGTCCCACCACAGCCTGGCCTCTAACACTAGTGTGGCTGCTGGGAATAAAGGTGTGTCCCACGGCTCCCTGGCCTCCATAGCTAACTAATGCAGCTGCTAGATTAAAGGTGTGACCCGCTGCTGCCTGGGTTCACATCCTTCTGCCTTACTTACTTGGTGCTGGGGTTATGACCATGGCTTCCACACCAGGCTCTGTCCTCATCAGTGTTTTTGTGATATGCTGGTTTGAGTTCATTATCCATGCCTTAGGACAGCAATCCAGACACGGGAATCCTGATGCATGTTTTCCTGCTTTGATGGAGGAATGAAATACAGTTATTCGGGAAAGGGTGAAATAGTTGCTAAATAATTTCATGTACGTTACTTAACGTATTAAGTATCCTAAGACATTTTCTAAAAAGTGTTTTTTTTTTTTTAACTAGAGCTTTTGAAATGGGGAAAATGGGCAGGTAGGGTTTTTTTTTTCTTTTTTCTTTTGTTTTATTTTTTTGGTTGTTTTGGTTATTTTATTTTGTTTGAGACATGGTTTCCTGTGTACCCCTAACTGTCAAGCTCAGAAATCCTCCTGCATCTGCCTCCTGAAAGCCATGATTAAAGTCATAAACCACCACTGTCTGTCTTAGTAAAGGGCGTTTTTGGTTTTTGTTGTTAACACTACCTTCTCATGTGTCTCTGCCAACAAGACAAGTTAGTGACCAAATACTTCTTGATTTGTTTGTTTCAGGATACAGCGGGAAAATGGCCACTGAACAAATTTCACAGACAAACCTGTCCACTATGGATAAAATAGCCCTGGGCCTTGGAATACCAGCAGGTGTAACTGTGGCCTATATTCTATACCGCCGATACAGGGAAAGCCGAGCAGAGCAATTGACACATGTTGGAAAAGATGATGTTCATATGGAAATGAGAGTGCCCCAGGAGGCTGTGAGGCTGATCATTGGTCGGCAAGGAGCCAATATTAAACGGCTGCGGAAACAGACAGGCGCTCGCATTGACTTGGACTTGGACTTGGACGATGAGGGTGATGAGCGTGTGGTGTTGCTGAGCGGCTCACCTGTTGAGGTGTGCAAAGCCAAAGCAGCAATCGATCAGATCCTGACAGAGAACATCCTGGTATCTGAGGAGCTCTGCGTCCCCCAGCGATCCGTGGGCAGAATCATTGGGAGAGGTGGCAAGACGATTCGTTCTATCTGTAAGGCTTCTGGAGCCAAAATTACGTGCGATAAAGAATCAGAGGGGTCGTTACTACTGTCAAGACTCATAAAAATCTCGGGGACACAGAAGGAAGTGGAAGCTGCAAAGCATCTGATAATGGAGAAAGTGTTAGAAGAACTTCGAAACAGGATTACCCTTTCTATTGTTCCACGAAAGCAGCCTATCTGTGTTAGAGGAGAGGAAGTCATAGAGCCAGGAGGGGCTGGCAAAGCAGCCTTATTACACCTGGAGGTTCCTGTCAGCAAAGGTGGTGGCGATATGGTTGCTGCAGCACCAGAAGAAGGTTCCTGGCAGACACCTAATGACGGCCTTCAGAATTCTGGTGTCCACAACTATCCAGAGACATCCGTGTTTGAAGTTGCCAGTGCCGACTTCATTTTCCGGGCCGATGAGTTCCTAGACGTCTTCGTTTCTGCTTCTGAAAACCCTAACCGCCTCTGGATCCAAATCATTAGCTCGCACAGCCCCCATTTTCAAAAACTTATCATTGAGATGACCCAGCACTATGAAAGTAGTCTGCCTGAAGACTTGAGTGTGAACGTAGGAGACTTTGTAGCAGCACGTTACTCTGTAGATGGTTGCTGGTATCGAGCCAAGATTCTTAGTACCCTGGAAAATGGGCACTTGGACCTATATTTTGTTGACTTTGGAAATAATAGGAACTGCCCAGTGGAGGATCTGAGGGCTCTCAAGATGGACTTCCTGATCCTTCCTTTTCAAGCAATAGAATGCAGTCTGGCACGGATTGGCCCCTCAGGTGAACAGTGGGAAGAGGAAGCTCTTGATGAGTTTGAAAGACTCACTGCCTGTGGTGCCTGGAAGCCATTGGTGGCCAAGTTCTCTGGCGATGTCCATAATGGAAAGTCAACTTGGCCAGAAATCTATTTGTATGATACCAGCAATGGGCAGGAACTTGATATTGGGTTAGAATTAGTTCGTAAAGGATATGCAGTCGAACTTCCAGAAGATGTGGAAGAAGATGGAACTTTCCCATATACGTTGAGGATGGACATGATGGACATGATGGACGTGATGGACATGGCAGAGGAGGCAGATTCTTCTTTTTCCAGCATAGTCAGTGAGACCAGAATGATGATCCCTGAAGAGTTACCTCGTGCCTATTCCTGCCTCAGCTTAACAAAAGCCGAAGTGTTCAGAAGAAGATGTAGAAGAGTCGCATCAATATAAAGGCCTCATGGGGGAAGGGAGTGCTGAGGATACTGAAGAGAGTTCCATTGTAGTATTCCTTCAGGTATTTGCTTATGAACTTTCTTGTAAATGCAAGTAGAAGAAACGTAGAGACAACTTAGGACATGTTAAATTAACAGTATGTCTGTATACACACATCTAGAGAAATAAAGAATGTACTTCTGCTTGGAAAAAAAATTGTATGTAGCATTTCACTTCAACTACATGAACAGAAATCTCTTCCAAGGATTCCAAAGAAGTCAAAGGAATAGCGCTTCCGTGGCTCAATATTTACTTGATAATTTCCTATCAGTCAAATACAATATTTTAGCTGCTCTGACGATGAAACATGTGTTATGGAATAAAAAGTTTTATAGTCTGAATCCCCTCCATCAGGGTGCGATGCATTTTACACTGTTGCTGATACCTATGCATTGCTAATAGTCACTTTCTGATGTGTGTATACGAATGTGTGTGTGTGTGTGTGTGTGTGTGTGTGTGTGTGTATGAGAGTGATTACTGATTATAAAGCATCTTACATATTTGAGAGTTTTTCCTAAAAATATTTGAAATATTTGCTTTGGTTTTTAAATCAAAGTACATTGTTTCATACTTTGGTAAGTTTGTGCATCCATACAATGTATTCATCTCATATCCATACCTTTAACACACCCCCAAACTTATCCCAGGCCCTCTGTTAACTCCTGCTGTTTCATAAACCTCTTCTTTGATTTGGTTTACTTCATTTAAATTTTTGTGTGTGTGTGTGAGTGTTCTCAAGAGAGGTTTTCTCTCTGAAGCCTGGCATCCTGGAACTTGCTCTAGACCAGGCTGATATCAAACTCAGTGACTCCCCTGCCACTTCTACACCTGTGATGGGGTTAAAGGTTATTGCTACCCTAAAGACATTCCCAGGAATCCAACAAAACCACTCAATCTCCATCTAAGAATCTAAGAAATAATGGACAAGGCACCATACATGTCTTTCCTATGTAATGAGATTGATCAGTACCTTAAGTTCCATCCTAGAACCTTTGCCCAGTATTGATGGAGGCAGATATCCACAGATAAGCACTGGACCAATCTCCTTGAGTCCAGTTGCAGAGACTGAGAAGTGATGAGGAAAGTGGTCAAGACCGTGCTGGGGGAAACCCACAGAAACAGCTTGACCTGAGCTAGTGGGAGTTAACTGACTCCTTGGGGAACCTGCATGAGACCGAACTAGGTTCCTTGAACCTGTGTGTGAGCTGGGGGTTTTCGGCAGTCTATGGGGCATCTGGCTTTGCAACCAGGATTTATCCATAATACATGAACTGTGTTTCTGGAACCCATTTCCTATGGGCTCCCATTAGAGGCAGGGAGGGAGGGCCTTATTTCTGTCCCAAATGATGATGTCCCAGACTTTGATGCCCCTTGGAAGGCCTCAGTGTCTGTTAGTAGTGGAGTGGGCGTGGGATGGGAGGTAGTGGGTGGAGTGGGGGCTCAGAAGGCAGAGGGAACAGAGATTGCTGTTTGAAAAAGATTGCTTTAAAAATAGTATGTGTGCCACCACACCCGATTCATAACTTGTTCTGATTTAAAGACCCAAAGAGTCCAATTGGTGTTGCACATATGTGCATGGGTATAGGACCATACCGAGGAGCACAACCAACCTGCCTATCCACGCCCATGTACCCGATATTAACTAACTTAGGCTCCTCCAGGAGACATCAACTCTCATTAACTCAGCTAGCTTTAGGACCTCATGAGCTTGAGTACTGATTGGCTTAATCTTCTCAAAGTATACAATATGTAACTTTGCAGTTTTAGCTCTGAAATTCACTGCCACTGGCATCTGCTCTTACACACCATTCAGTGTTTAGCAGGGCCTCTTAAAAGGGCCTTGCAGTTTTGTTTTGTTTTGGTTTTATTTTTTTTTTTTTTGCCGCTTATGTCGACACAGGAAGACTCCAGTAAGGGAGCCCTGTGAGTCTGCTTGTCTCTAGCAAAACAGAGCCCACCAGAGAAACATGTTGCTCTCTGCTCTTTTGTTTTTAGAATCCTCTTAAACTTTTGTCATTCTACTTGGTATTTCATGATGGGAGGTGGCCTCAGTGAGGAGACAGGGGAGCAGGGGAGGCTGATTACCATTTGAAGCAAACTTGTTTCAAAATTTAAAAAAAAAAGTTCCTTTCTGCAAAAGTGTATGTGAATATGTGTGTGTGTGTGTATGTGTGTGCGTGTGTGTTTACTGTGGAATGTATTGTGATAATTTCCCCAGGAATCTAGTTGTACTGGTTACCTCTGAAGACACATTTTCTGCATTTACTTTTCCTTACTTGTGACTCTTCTGGGAGGTGCAAGTATGACTTCCCCAATTCTATGGTTTCTGAGTGACTAGAAGTCAAGCATGTGTGTAGGTCCCAGCTGCTAAAGAACTAAATCTGAGGACAGCCTGGGCAACATACCAAACATCTGTCTCTGAAATAACAGTAATAACAATAATAACAATAATAATGGGAAAACTGACCCAAAGACATCTGAGTGACCAGAAGCGATGTTGTAGTCGCTCAACAAACATTGTTTTGTCTGAGTGTTCATCCTGCTCCAGGCGTGAGAGATGATATTTCAAAACATCTCCGCATGAACTGGAGTGACTCTGTCCTCGCCACAGTGTCTAGTTTCTTAGTGGTCCAGGTACGATCAAGATGGCCGCCGGAATTCAGATTGTCAAGCACACTGCTGCTGCCCGCCACAGCCTCCCTTTCTATGGGCTGGAATCAGGGCCATTGGTCCACAGGTGCTCTCGACCCAAAGCTCCCTTATCTAGGTGGTGGCCATGGTGACTTATATCCACGTGGAGAGTCCAGGGCTCCGCCGCAGGGCCATGCAGTGTCCACTCCCTTTTCCCTCCTTTCAACAGAGTTGCTTTCCTCTCTCCTAGTCAGATGGAGATGGGGAAAGCATACAGGCAGAAGTTTCGTTTGTTTGTTTGGTTTTTGATGGAAGAGTTTCCTGTGCGGCTCTGTAGACCAGAGCTGGTCCTGAACTCAGAGAGATCCGCCTACCTCTGCCTCCCAATTGCTGGGATTAAAGGCGTGTCCCAACACCCTCCAGGAAAGCATAGGCCGAACTGCGCTGGTGGTGCACCGCTTTAATCCCAGCACTCCGGAGGCAGATGCAGGCAGATCTGTGTGACTTCCAGGCCTGCCTGGACCGACAGCCTCCAAAACAATACGGAGAAACCCTATCTAGCAAAAACAAAAAATAAAAATAAAAAAAAATAAAAAATAAACAAATAAATAAAAACAAAACAAACAAAAAAGAGAAGTGATTTACTTGATCCGTGAAAGCCCACCAATGATCCAAGGCCCCTTCTTTGTGAGTATGCAAATCTCATCCTCAGAGAAGATCCAAGGACTCCAAGGGCCTCCAGTTGGTTATTTAATCCTCAGCAGACACAGGATCCATTAACAGCATCTCCTTCCTGTGTCTCTAACTGCCTAGTGAGGTGGGCAGGCTCAGAGGTTTAATCCCAGTCATTGGCCTTCAGAGCAGATCTGCTCACCTAGTTTACAGGCAGCCAGGACAAGGATTACCTGTGGTTTAGGGAAATTGTCAGACTTCCAGACAGGCGTTGATTGGTGCGGGCGTGGCAGGTAGGCGGGGCAAGCCTCGGTTAAATAGCTGCCACCTGTTTGGCTGCTTCAGAGTGTTACCTGTGAGGTACAAGGAGAAGGAGCGCAGGACTTCGGAAGACAGGTAAAGCCAGGGCTGCAGAGAGGAGTTTGGGGGCTTGGGAGAGTCTGGGTGGTGGGCAGCCTGGCAACTGGAGGCAGAAGTGCCGGATTGAGGATGGGATCCATGGGGCCAGTGGTGGGTGTGCGGTCCTGCTTGGGTCCCCTTCTGGACCAGCTGTGCTCGGAGCAAGGGCTCTGGCCCCAGGGTCTCAGCTCCCATATCTGGTAGACCACTCGCCACTACTCGGGGCTCCTAGACTGGGCTCCTTTTGAAATAAGGGGTCTACTTGCCCCATTTTAGTCCCAATGGCTGTTTGCCACTGCAGGATATCTGGTTATTTATTTAGTGGCAGGGTTTGTGTGGATCTGGCTTTGAACTGAGCTCCTCTGGCTTTTACTTCTGGAGAGATGGAAGTACGGGCAAGCCCCAGAATATTCTACTTTGAACTGATTTTTCCCGTAGTCTTCCTTCCTCTTTGTTTGTGAGATGTAGCAGTACTAATAAAGACCCAGTAACAGGTATTGGGATTAAAGGTGAGGATCTGAGACGCAGAGTGGCCAGCCAGTAGAGTTCTCAACAATGCTCACAAGGAATGGGTGATCCTGTTCTCCAGACTACATCTGCCTCCACCAGGTGTCAGAGTGTACTGAGCTCCTGTCTCCTCCCAATATGGGCTGGGATTAAAGGCGTGGATCCCAAGTACTGAACAAACCTTGGTGTGAGCTGTTTTAAACGATCCGTTTCCTGTAGTTCAGGGTAGCCTTGAAATAGATCCTTCTGCCTGCTTCTCATGGGTGTTGGGATTAAAGGTATGTCCCACCACAGCCTGGCCTCTAACACTAGTGTGGCTGCTGGGAATAAAGGTGTGTCCCACGGCTCCCCTGGCCTCCATAGCTAACTAATGCAGCTGCTAGATTAAAGGTGTGACCCGCTGCTGCCTGGGTTCACATCCTTCTGCCTTACTTACTTGGTGCTGGGGTTATGACCATGGCTTCCACACCAGGCTCTGTCCTCATCAGTGTTTTTGTGATATGCTGGTTTGAGTTCATTATCCATGCCTTAGGACAGCAATCCAGACACGGGAATCCTGATGCATATTTTCCTGCTTTGATGGAGGAATGAAATACAGTTATTCGGGAAAGGGTGAAATAGCTGCTAAATAATTTCATGTACATTACTTAACGTATTAAGTATCCTAAGACATTTTCTAAAAAGTGTTTTTTTTTTTTTTAACTAGAGCTTTTGAAATGGGGAAAATGGGCAGGTAGGGTTTTTTTTTTTTCTTTTTTCTTTTGTTTTATTTTTTTGGTTGTTTTGGTTATTTTATTTTGTTTGAGACATGGTTTCCTGTGTACCCCTAACTGTGAAGCTCAGAAATCCTCCTGCATCTGCCTCCTGAAAGCCATGATTAAAGTCATAATCCACCACTGTCTGTCTTAGTAAAGGGCGTTTTTGGTTTTTGTTGTTAACACTACCTTCTCATGTGTCTCTGCCAACAAGACAAGTTAGTGACCAAATACTTCTTGATTTGTTTGTTTCAGGATACAGCGGGAAAATGGCCACTGAACAAATTTCACAGACAAACCTGTCCACTATGGATAAAATAGCCCTGGGCCTTGGAATACCAGCAGGTGTAACTGTGGCCTATATTCTATACCGCCGATACAGGGAAAGCCGAGCAGAGCAATTGACACATGTTGGAAAAGATGATGTTCATATGGAAATGAGAGTGCCCCAGGAGGCTGTGAGGCTGATCATTGGTCGGCAAGGAGCCAATATTAAACGGCTGCGGAAACAGACAGGCGCTCGCATTGACTTGGACTTGGACTTGGACGATGAGGGTGATGAGCGTGTGGTGTTGCTGAGCGGCTCACCTGTTGAGGTGTGCAAAGCCAAAGCAGCAATCGATCAGATCCTGACAGAGAACATCCTGGTATCTGAGGAGCTCTGCGTCCCCCAGCGATCCGTGGGCAGAATCATTGGGAGAGGTGGCAAGACGATTCGTTCTATCTGTAAGGCTTCTGGAGCCAAAATTACGTGCGATAAAGAATCAGAGGGGTCGTTACTACTGTCAAGACTCATAAAAATCTCGGGGACACAGAAGGAAGTGGAAGCTGCAAAGCATCTGATAATGGAGAAAGTGTTAGAAGAACTTCGAAACAGGATTACCCTTTCTATTGTTCCACGAAAGCAGCCTATCTGTGTTAGAGGAGAGGAAGTCATAGAGCCAGGAGGGGCTGGCAAAGCAGCCTTATTACACCTGGAGGTTCCTGTCAGCAAAGGTGGTGGCGATATGGTTGCTGCAGCACCAGAAGAAGGTTCCTGGCAGACACCTAATGACGGCCTTCAGAATTCTGGTGTCCACAACTATCCAGAGACATCCGTGTTTGAAGTTGCCAGTGCCGACTTCATTTTCCGGGCCGATGAGTTCCTAGACGTCTTCGTTTCTGCTTCTGAAAACCCTAACCGCCTCTGGATCCAAATCATTAGCTCGCACAGCCCCCATTTTCAAAAACTTATCATTGAGATGACCCAGCACTATGAAAGTAGTCTGCCTGAAGACTTGAGTGTGAACGTAGGAGACTTTGTAGCAGCACGTTACTCTGTAGATGGTTGCTGGTATCGAGCCAAGATTCTTAGTACCCTGGAAAATGGGCACTTGGACCTATATTTTGTTGACTTTGGAAATAATAGGAACTGCCCAGTGGAGGATCTGAGGGCTCTCAAGATGGACTTCCTGATCCTTCCTTTTCAAGCAATAGAATGCAGTCTGGCACGGATTGGCCCCTCAGGTGAACAGTGGGAAGAGGAAGCTCTTGATGAGTTTGAAAGACTCACTGCCTGTGGTGCCTGGAAGCCATTGGTGGCCAAGTTCTCTGGCGATGTCCATAATGGAAAGTCAACTTGGCCAGAAATCTATTTGTATGATACCAGCAATGGGCAGGAACTTGATATTGGGTTAGAATTAGTTCGTAAAGGATATGCAGTCGAACTTCCAGAAGATGTGGAAGAAGATGGAACTTTCCCATATACGTTGAGGATGGACATGATGGACATGATGGACGTGATGGACATGGCAGAGGAGGCAGATTCTTCTTTTTCCAGCATAGTCAGTGAGACCAGAATGATGATCCCTGAAGAGTTACCTCGTGCCTATTCCTGCCTCAGCTTAACAAAAGCCGAAGTGTTCAGAAGAAGATGTAGAAGAGTCGCATCAATATAAAGGCCTCATGGGGGAAGGGAGTGCTGAGGATACTGAAGAGAGTTCCATTGTAGTATTCCTTCAGGTATTTGCTTATGAACTTTCTTGTAAATGCAAGTAGAAGAAACGTAGAGACAACTTAGGACATGTTAAATTAACAGTATGTCTGTATACACACATCTAGAGAAATAAAGAATGTACTTCTGCTTGGAAAAAAAATTGTATGTAGCATTTCACTTCAACTACATGAACAGAAATCTCTTCCAAGGATTCCAAAGAAGTCAAAGGAATAGCGCTTCCGTGGCTCAATATTTACTTGATAATTTCCTATCAGTCAAATACAATATTTTAGCTGCTCTGACGATGAAACATGTGTTATGGAATAAAAAGTTTTATAGTCTGAATCCCCTCCATCAGGGTGCGATGCATTTTACACTGTTGCTGATACCTATGCATTGCTAATAGTCACTTTCTGATGTGTGTATACGAGTGTGTGTGTGTGTGTGTGTGTGTGTGTGTGTGTGTGTGTATGAGAGTGATTACTGATTATAAAGCATCTTACATATTTGAGAGTTTTTCCTAAAAATATTTGAAATATTTGCTTTGGTTTTTAAATCAAAGTACATTGTTTCATACTTTGATAAGTTTGTGCATCCATACAATGTATTCATCTCATATCCATACCTTTAACACACCCCCAAACTTATCCCAGGCCCTCTGTTAACTCCTGCTGTTTCATAAACCTCTTCTTTGATTTGGTTTACTTCATTTAAATTTTTGTGTGTGTGTGAGTGTTCTCAAGAGAGGTTTTCTCTCTGAAGCCTGGCATCCTGGAACTTGCTCTAGACCAGGCTGATATCAAACTCAGTGACTCCCCTGCCACTTCTACACCTGTGATGGGGTTAAAGGTTATTGCTACCCTAAAGACATTCCCAGGAATCCAACAAAACCACTCAATCTCCATCTAAGAATCTAAGAAATAATGGACAAGGCACCATACATGTCTTTCCTATGTAATGAGATTGATCAGTACCTTAAGTTCCATCCTAGAACCTTTGCCCAGTATTGATGGAGGCAGATATCCACAGATAAGCACTGGACCAATCTCCTTGAGTCCACTTGCAGAGACTGAGAAGTGATGAGGAAAGTGGTCAAGACCGTGCTGGGGGAAACCCACAGAAACAGCTTGACCTGAGCTAGTGGGAGTTAACTGACTCCTTGGGGAACCTGCATGAGACCGAACTAGGTTCCTTGAACCTGTGTGTGAGCTGGGGTTTTCGGCAGTCTATGGGGCATCTGGCTTTGCAACCAGGATTTATCCATAATACATGAACTGTGTTTCTGGAACCCATTTCCTATGGGCTCCCATTAGAGGCAGGGAGGGAGGGCCTTATTTCTGTCCCAAATGATGATGTCCCAGACTTTGATGCCCCTTGGAAGGCCTCAGTGTCTGTTAGTAGTGGAGTGGGCGTGGGATGGGGAGGTAGTGGGTGGAGTGGGGGCTCAGAAGGCAGAGGGAACAGAGATTGCTGTTTGAAAAAGATTGCTTTAAAAATAGTATGTGTGCCACCACACCCGATTCATAACTTGTTCTGATTTAAAGACCCAAAGAGTCCAATTGGTGTTGCACATATGTGCATGGGTATAGGACCATACCGAGGAGCACAACCAACCTGCCTATCCACGCTCATGTACCCGATATTAACTAACTTAGGCTCCTCCAGGAGACATCAACTCTCATTAACTCAGCTAGCTTTAGGACCTCATGAGCTTGAGTACTGATTGGCTTAATCTTCTCAAAGTATACAATATGTAACTTTGCAGTTTTAGCTCTGAAATTCACTGCCACTGGCATCTGCTCTTACACACCATTCAGTGTTTAGCAGGGCCTCTTAAAAGGGCCTTGCAGTTTTGTTTTGTTTTGGTTTTATTTTTTTTTTTTTTTTGCCGCTTATGTCGACACAGGAAGACTCCAGTAAGGGAGCCCTGTGAGTCTGCTTGTCTCTAGCAAAACAGAGCCCACCAGAGAAACATGTTGCTCTCTGCTCTTTTGTTTTTAGAATCCTCTTAAACTTTTGTCCTTCTACTTGGTATTTCATGATGGGAGGCGGCCTCAGTGAGGAGACAGGGGAGGAGGGGAGGCTGATTACCATGTGAAGCAAACTTGTTTCAAAATTAAAAAAAAATTTTTACTTTCTGCAAAAGTTTATGTGAATATGTGTGTGTGTGTGTGTGTGTGTGTGTGTGTGTGTGTGTGTGTGTGTGTGTGTGTTTACTCTGGAATGTATTTTGAAAATTTCCCCAGGAATCTAGTTGTACTGGTTACCTCTGAAGACACATTTTCTGCATTTACTTTTCCTTACTTGTGACTCTTCTGGGAGGTGCAAGTATGACTTCCCCAAATCTATTGTTTCTGAGTGACTACATGAACAATATCTCTTCCAAGGATTCCAAAGAAGTCAAAGGAATAGCGCTTCCGTGGCTCAATATTTACTTGATAATTTCCTATCAGTCAAATACAATATTTTAGCTGCTCTGACGATGAAACATGTGTTATGGAATAAAAGGTTTTATAGTCTGAATCCCCTCCATCAGGGTGCGATGCATTTTACAATGTTGCTGATACCTATGCATTGCTAATAGTCACTGTCTGATGTGTGTATACGAATGTGTGTGTGTGTGTGTGTGTGTGTGTGTGTGTGTGTGTGTGTGTGTGTATGAGAGGGATTACTGATTATAAAGCATCTTACATATTTGAGAGTTTTTCCTAAAAATATTTGAAATATTTGCTTTGGTTTTTAAATCAAAGTACATTGTTCCATACTTTGGTAAGTTTGTGCATCCATACAATGTATTCATCTCATATCCATACCTTTAACACACCCCCAAACTTATCCCAGGCCCTCTGTTAACTCCTGCTGTTTCATAAACCTCTTCTTTGATTTGGTTTACTTCATTTAAATTTTTTTTGTGTGTGTTCTCAAGATAGGTTTTCTCTCTGAAGCCTGGCATCTTGGAACTTGCTCTAGACCAGGCTGATATCAAACTCAGTGACTCCCCTGCCACTTCTACACTTTTGATGGGGTAAAGCTTCTTGTTACCGTAAGGAATCCACCAATGCCACAAATAAGCACTGGACCAGTCTCCTTGAGTCTTCTTGTAGAGACGGAGAAGTGATAATGAAAGGGGTCAATACCGTGCTGGGGGAAACCCACAGAAACAGCTTGACCTGAGTTAGTGGGAGTTCACTTACTCCTGAAAATAGCTGCGGAACCTGAATGAGACTCAACTAAGTTCCTTGAATCTGGGTGTCATCTGGCGGTTTTTGGCTGTCCATGGGGCATCCTGCTTTGTAACCAGGATTTATCCCTAATGCACGAACTGTATTTTTGGAACCCATTTCCTATCGTCTCAGCCTAGATGCAGGGAGGATGCCCTTTGTCCTGTCCCAATGATGTCCAGAGTTTGATTCCCCTTGGAAGGCCTCAGCCTCTGTTAGTATTGGATTGGGCGTGGGATGGGGAGATAGTGGGGGGAGTCTGGTGGGTCTGAAGGCAGAGGGAACTGACATTGCTATGTACAATTAGATTGTTTTAAAAATAGTGTGTGTGCCACCACACCTGGTTCATATTTGTTCTAATTTAAAGACCCAAAAGTCCAATTAGTGTTGCTCATATGTGCATGGGTATAGGACCATACCGAGGAGCACAACCAACCTGCCTATCCCCGCCCATGTACCTGATAATATCTAACTTATGCTCACCCAGCCTATACCAACTCTTAGTAACTCAGCTAGCTTTAGGACCTCTTGAGCATGCTCCTCCCTAGTGGAGTATTGTTTTGCTATCATGTGAAAATCATAGTCTCAAGAATGTAATTTTTGTGTGTTAGCTGTAAAGGGAATGTCTATGTCATACCCTGCTGTTTCAAGGCCAGATAGGTTAATTAGGAATCAGAATCGGTGTTGTGAATTAGTGTCTTCTGAACATGATATGGCCATTTCATTCATGAATACTATTTGTCTAATAGTACATTGCATATCTTCTTAGAAGATAGATTATTTCTCCTAAGATCCCCCCATTGCAAGCCTCTCCCTCCCTGGGGAGCAGAAAGGGTATGGGGTAGAAAGTTATTGGGGACATGGGAGGAGGGGAGAGAGAGGGAACTGGTATTGACATGTAAAACAAGTTTCTTTCTAGTTTAAATAAAAACAAATAAAGGAAAACTGAAAACTAAAGTAATTCATTCAGATAATGAGAATTAGTGTACTTATACTTGTTCTAATAATAATAATAATTATATAGAACAATTGTTCTTTTTTATTTTGAAAATAATTTTTCAATTCAACTTTTTACACAAGTTTCTTCCAGTTCTCTCTCCCTTCCCTCCTCCCCAGACCTCCTTGTTCCCCCAACCCCCCACCCCACTCCATCCTCCTTCTGCTTCCCAGGGAGCGATTTTCAGTCTGTCATGTAGTCCCGGGCAGGGCCTATGTCCTCCCCCATGTGTCCAGGCTGAGAGAGCATCCCTCCTTGTGGAATGGACTTCCAGAGTCCACTTTTATGCCAGGAATAAATACTGATCTACTATCCAAGGTCCCACTGAAAGCATTGAAAGACCTTGGCATCAAAGTGCTGGGCACCGAACCGAACCCTCTGCCCAAGAACTGCGGCCAGACCACTGGATGCAAATGCAAGAGGTGATTTATTCAGTACACAGGTGCCTGCGTATGCTACTGCAACATGGGTGCAAAGCATACCCGGCTTTCAGGGAGCACAATATTTATAGAGTTTTAATGGTTATATAAGTATCAGCATAGCAACAGGCATTTCATTGGCTCATCTTGGGGGTAGGGGTAGTTGCTAAGGACTAGGTTTCCTGGTATTACCACATGAAAGACTCCAGCACACTTCAGCAATTATTATCCGGGTCCCATAACTGCTCTGGTGATCACAGACACAAGTATCCAGGTCCCATGACTGCTCTGATGACCACCGACATCCTGTTTGACACCCTGTTTGAGGCGCCAGCTGGGCAAGGCACCTGGTCTGCGTTTTTCGATTAGGCAACAGCTTGGCCTTGTTTTTCTTTTCCTAGGGGGTCCTGGGTAAGGGTCTTTCACCATATATTGCTGAGGCCTCCACTCTGACACCCAGCTTCTGGGTTAGGGAGGTCTGGCTCAGAGCCATGCTGACTTCTCAGCCATTAGTCTGGGGTCCATGTGTTCCCCCTTGTTTAGATCAGCTGCCTCTGTGGGTTTTGCCAGCTGCGTCTTGATTCCTTTGCTCATCACTCCTCTTTTCACCTGGGTTTCAGGAGTTCAGTTCTGTTTTTTTGT